CATGGTTTTGGGCTCGAGGAGGGGCCCGGGAAGGAAAAATTGGCATCTTAAGATCGTTTCAACATAGATGGCCCAAAAATGGCCCCAACGTAGCTCGCAAGGGGGCTCAACATGGGGCCACATAGGTCCAACATAGGCCAACATAGGCCCAACATGGGCCCAAGATGGGCCCAACATAGCCCAACATAGGCCCAACCTGGGCCAATATAGGCCCAAGAGGGGCCCGATGGCTCAACATGGGCCCGACTTGGCCTAACATAAGCATAGGCCCAGACTGCTTCCATACAGGCAAGCACTGCCCATTATGCCTGCCTCAGTTCTTAACATGCCTTCCCTGGGTTTGCGCGGAGAATCTAAGCCAAAAGTCGTTGCTTGGCCGGCGCCCGGCTGTCAGGGGTAAGCCTTTAAATCCGCCCACACCGCTTTGGCGGTGAAGGCGTGCTTATTGGGGGGCAACAGCAACACTAAATGCTCAATGACATTTGTTAATATAGCAGTCGCTATATCAGCTTTAGCTGGGGGGGGGCCAAAAACGGTTTCGCACCGAGACCAGAATACGGTGGTGTTTTCGACATTTTTCGAGGATTTTTGGGTGTCTGAGCGCAAGAGGGTATTGAAATGGAATTTTGGGTTATTTTGGTAGCTTTCCGGCAATGGAAAAACGGCCAAAAATGAAAAAAACATTGTACATAGCAAGATTTTGCAGGGTTTTTGGATGCCAGAGCATTGAAAACACTGCAAAAACAAGTGTTTTGGACTGACGTTATAGCAAAAAACGTGTAAATCCGCCCACACCGCTTTGGCGGTGAAGGCGTGCTTATTGGGGGGCAACAGCAACACTAAATGCTCAATGACATTTGTTAATATAGCAGTCGCTATATCAGCTTTAGCTGGGGGGGGGGCAAAAAACGGTTTCGCACCGAGACCAGACCCCAAAAACGGTTTCGCACCGAGACCAGAATACGGTGGTGTTTTCGACATTTTTCGAGGATTTTTGGGTGTCTGAGCGCAAGAAGGTATTGAAATGGAATTTTGGGTCATTTTGGTAGCTTTCCGGCAATGGAAAAACGGCCAAAAATGAAAAAAAAACATTGTACATAGCAAGATTTTGCAGGGTTTTTGGATGCCAGAGCATTGAAAACACTGCAAAAACAAGTGTTTTGGACTGACGTTATAGCAAAAAACGTGTAAATTACCGTATGCTTGACTGGAAACATTACAAAAACACTGTCAAAAGCACTGTTTTGGAAGGATTTACTGCCTTTATGGCAAAAAACGTGTAAATTACCGTCTGTTTGACTGGAAACATTGGAAAAACACTGTCAAAAACAATGTTTTGGAAGGATTTCTTATATATATATATATGTTGGAGTTGGCTACCGGCATTGGAACATGGAAAAATTGAAGAAAACACTGTAAATAGCGGTATTTTCAACGGGTGGGGAGATAAGGGAATTGGAAGCATTGTCGAACATGATGTTTTCGACCGGTTTTATGGCGACAAAAGTGTAAAGTACCGTGCTTTGAAGGAAACCATTGCAAAAGCATGGAAACACATTCAAAGAACACGGGATTTGGGGGATTATCTATCTAGGCGTCGTTGTCTAGCTATTTGAAATTCCGCAGCTTGGAGAGCCTCCAAGGGAGGGAAAAGTGAAAATTCCATAGCTTGGGAAGCTGTCACGGCGGGGAACAGTGAAAATTCCCTAGCTTGGGAAGAGTGAAAATTCCCTAGCTTGGGGAGCCCCCACGGGGGGGAAAAGTGAAAATTCCCTAGCTTGGGGAGCCCCCACGGGGGGAAAAGTGAAAATTCCCTAGCTTGGGGAGCCCCCACGGGGGGGAAAAGTGAAAATTCCCTAGCTTGAGGAGCCCCCACGGGGGGGAAAAGTGAAAATTCCCTAGCTTGGGAGCCCCCACGGGGGGGGAAAGTGAAAATTCTTAGCTTGGGGAGCCCCCACGAAAAAAAACCACCCTTGCCCCCTCTCACGGACCGAAATAAACCTGCGGTGTGGGCGGCCACCCCACGCGAAGCGGGGTGAATAAATCCCGCGCCGGTCACGGGCCCGTGTGCTGCCCTCCGGGGCCTTCGGTGGTAACCGAAGGTTGTATACGCTGCCGCCCCCTGCCGCCGACCCACCTCTGAGCCCATTCATGGCCTTAATTCAGGTTACTGAAATATTATGATTTACCCAGATTGATGTTTATCATTTTTACAATATCATCATACATAAGTATACCATATTGCCTTTACCACAACCACAATCACAACCACAGCCACAACCACAACCACAACAACAACAACACCACCACCACCAACAACGACGACGACGTCGACGACGACGACGACGAGGACGACGACGACGACCACAACAACAACAACAACAAAAAAAAAACAATATCAACAACAACCCCCAACCACACATTGCTCCACTGTCTGGCCTTTTCCTTCTTACTTTTTTTGGGCTTATCGCTCCTGGAGCCCACCTATGACGCACTTCACAAGATTCAGAGGCTGCCACCATCCTGAACCCAGCGGTGTTGACTGGTCAAGTGAACCCAAACTGTCACATAACACTAAAGTAAGTTTCCTCACTGTAAACCCACAGTGAACTGATTGTATGATATGATTCTGATATGATGCTGTGCTTATCATACTTGGCACGATGTGACTGGACAAGCGGAAAAAAACGATGTAGTAGAGATGTATGCTGTGACGGGATAGTTGCTAGCCGGGAGCACTAGTCACACGTTGCCAAACTAAAATTTCAACATCTATATGTGTTGCGTGTCTGGCGTGTCTTTATGGAACATGTTTGCAACCGCTTGCAGACTGCCTGATTTCAAAAGAAAACGTTAGGCAGCATTTGGCAGAACTTGCATGGGAACTCACTAGGCCAAGATAAGGCTAACATAGGCCAACCTAGGGCCAACATAGAGCCAAACATAGGCCAACATAGGCCCAACATGGGCCCAAGATAGGCCCAAGATGATGGGCCCAACCTGGCCCAACATGGACCCAAGGGCGGCCCTTCAATCCGGGATGGTCCTAAGGTATCGCCAACATAGCCTCAACATGAGCGCAACATGCTCCCTACACTGACTTCAGGCCGTTTCTCTGCCGGCGCCCGGCTGTCAGGCGTAAGCCCTTAAATCCGGCGATGCCCGGCCGAACTTCTCCCAAAATCCTATTTTTGTTGGTGCGTGCCAAAAGCTAAAACACTGTAAATTACAGTGTTTTTGTACCTTTGGCATGGAAGAAGTACTTCTTGCAACAGGGTGCAAACTGCGTAAATCTAATGCATTTACTAGGCACTAGCCAAAAAAAAACACTAAAACCTATCCTTTTGCTATTAGAAGCAAAAAATACATCGTAAATACCATGGTTTTGAGCTTCCGAGGTGCAAAAAATATCGGCATTTACGGTGTTTTTTTCCTCTGATGCTCTCGAAAAATGTGAAAACACCACGTATTTGGCGATTTCTGGCCACTACGAGCCACAACAACAACAAAACCAACAACAACAAAACCAATAACAACAAAACCAACAACAACAAAACCAACAACAACAAAACCAACAACAACAACAAAACCAACAACAACAACAACAACAACAACAACAAACAACAACAAACAACAACAAAACAAGCAACAACAAAACAAACAACAACAAAACAAACAACAACAAAACAAACAACAACAAAACAAACAACAACAAAACAAACAACAACAAAACAAACAACAACACAACAAACAACAACAAAACAAACAACAACAAAACAAACAACAACAAAACAAACAACAACAAAACAAACAAACAAACAAACAAACAAAAAACAACAAAAAACAACAACAAAAAACAACAACAAAAAACAACAACAAAAAACAACAACAAAAAACAACAAAAAACAACAACAACAAACAACAACAACAACAACAACAAATAATAACATCTTCTCCCAAAATCCTATTTTTGTTGGCGCGTGCCAAAAGCTAAAACACTGTAAATTACAGTGTTTTTGTACCTGTGGCATGGAAGAAGTACTTCTTGCAACAGGCTGAAAACCTGCGTAAAGCTAATGCATTTGCCAGGCACTAGCCAAAAAAAACACTAAAATCTATCCTTTTGCTATTAGAAGCAAAAAAATATATCGTAAATACCATGGTTTTGAGCTTCCGAGGTGCAAAAAATATCGGCATTTACGGTGTTTTTTTTCCTCTGATGCTCTCAAAAAATGTGAAAACACCACGTATTTGCCGATTTCTGACCACTTCGAGCCACCACAACAACAACAACAACAGCAAAAAAACAACAAAACAAAAACAAAAAACAAAAACAAAAAAACAACAACAACAACAAACAACAAACAACAAACAACAAACAACAAACAACAAACAACAACCAACAACCAACAACCAACAACCAACAACCAACAACCAACAACCAACAACCAACACCCAACACCCAACCGCCAACCGCCAACTGCCAACCGCCAACCGCCAACCGCCAACCGCCAACCGCCAACCGCCAACCGCCAACCGCCAACCGCCAACCGCCAACCGCCAACCACCAACAGCCAACAGCCAACAGCCAACAGCCAACAACCAACAACCACAACCACAACCACAACCACAACAACAACAACAACAACAACAACCACAACCACAACCACAACCACAACAAGAACAAGAACAAGAACAAGAACAAGCACAAAAATGCGACAAAAAAGATTTGTGGTAAGATGCTTACAAGCGGCGGTATGAAAAGAACATCACACTGCGCTCTGCACCTGCGCACACGGGCAGAGCACATGAACAACACCAACGCTCACACTACTATACATAACCCTTATGACATCGCCGGCGTGCGAAGCTCTACATTCACAACATCAACCAATCAAGCAACCAATCATCAGACGAAAACGATTTGCCAGGATCTATCGATCTCAACAATACCCAAAAATTGTAAGTATTTCCCTGGTGAGCAAATGCATCTAGGAGGCGCTGCCAACAACAGCGTACACACCTGCAAGCAATTGCAAGGTTTCGCAACACGCTACTTCCTGTTGTGTCATTCAAACCTTGACAAAATGACCTTTGGACCCAGAATTCCTCACCTGAAAGGCTTTCAGTGAGGCCCAGTGCATGGCAGAGAGCCCCCACGGAGCGTCCAAACAAACCGCCCATCAGCATTGTGGCCTCAGAGACGCGAAAATACTAAAGACAAACTACGTTTGCGCGACCTGCGTCTCCGAACGGACGACACACGTCCACCACAACCCATCCTCAACATTGAAACAATATGAAATACTTGAGACTTGAGAGATTGCCTTTGCCCAGTGGCTGACTAGGAAAGGGGACATGGAAATCATTCAAGATGAGTTGCTAGTCCAGAACTTTAGTTTTGGGTCAGCGGCATGACATGCATTGAATAAAAAAGAAAAATAGATACGTAACAAAGCGACATTTAGATTTAGACGCAACCTTGCGCACTCCAAGCAGCAGTAAAGGCACCGCCGGGCACTGGCAAGCCGGCAAGGCCTTGGGTGTGGCTGCACATGGGCACTTTTCAAGCAGGATCAAGCAGGGTGCAAAGGCTTGGGGTATTTGATGTATTTGCCATTGTTGCTGACAAATCTGACAGAAAATGGCTCAGGAAGTGGCCGATGTTGAGGCCAGTGTAGGTAAGGAATGCCAGGAAGCTGGAAGCTGCATGGATTTCCCCTGAAAACATAAAGAAGCTGCACTCAAAAACTCTATTAATGCGACACATTGCGACACAACTGCATGATTGTTGCGTCGCCGCTGTGGCACCTGCATTATTCCCAGAGAAAAGCAACTTGACAGAGCCTTAGCTTTGCAGCCTTGCCCGGATCATCTTGATTTACAGCGAAATTGTCCAATGTCACGCTGTGAGCTTCGTTAGCACTTTAGGTGAGCCGTTCATTCTGGACCGGGTATTGCCTAGAAGCCCTATAGAGTCTAGCCTAGAGAAAAACTAAATCGCAATCTACCAAGATCTGTCAAGAGGCTGTGCGATGTGGCTACCAAGAGCGATGCGATGGGGTTGTACTGCCCCTGCCAATCCAATCGACTCATCGCGGTTGTGACAGTTGTGCTCAGTGTTCCCAGTGTTCCCTGTCGCACGATAATTACATGCCGTAAACTTCTAGAGGTCCCTGAGAAATGAGGAGATCCCTCAGAAATTCGATCTAGCAACGACAGAACAACATCCATAGTTTTTCTACGCAACATTGAAAGGACCACAAAAGGACTACTACAAACCCGATGGCCTCTGCACAATTAAAGGCCACATACTCCAAGCCGGACTGGCCCTCCTAGAAGACCAGCAAGTCCACTGAACTTGCATCGGAAAAAAAGAGTGCTAATCTGCTTGTACTTACAGGCATCTTTCCAATCTTTTCTTATTACAAAGGATTCATGCCCACAGACTCGAAACTGTCCAAAAAATTAGGACATACACCCCGTCCTCAGTGCAGGCTGCCAGTAGTGAAACCATCCTGGGCTCATTGGTCTATATTTACACGGTTTTATACGCCGTATATGTTAACAGCTGTATCTGTATGTATATGTGTGTGTGTATCTCGACCTGGGTAGGACATGAATACATACTCATGTATGTATGTATTATGTGCAAAACCAATTATATATAGGTATGTATATACTATGTATGTGTATATATATATGTTATTATATATATAATTGAATATAATATATTATGTATGTATGTATGTATGTATGTATGTATGTATTTATGTATGTATGTATGTCTGTCTGTCTGTATGTATGTATGTATGTATTTATGTATGTATGTATGTATGCATGTCTGTATGTCTGTATGTCTGTATGTATATATGTATGTATGTATGTATGTCTGTATGTATGTATGCATGCATGCATGTATGTATGTATGCATGGATGTGTGTGTATGTATGTATGTATTATATATATATACACCAATAATTATGATATATATATATACATGATTGAAAAGAATATATCTATATATGTATATATAATTAAATGTATGATTTTATATACATACACGTCTTTTTCGCATGTATGCCATATGTGCACGAGTGTCTGCACGTGTGCGTGTGTAACATCTGAATAGGTGTAAAACTTCTGAATCGGTTTCCATGATTTATAGGTTTGCAGGGGGCAGTAGCACCATTGCAAGTCTACTGCCAACGAAGACACTTGCAATTGGTGGTGATACCAGACCTGATCAGTCCGGCGTACCTGCAATTTTCCACTGCGATGGCAAGGGGCTAAGCCAAGAACCCCAACAACATTTTCATGTTTACACGGTCGCCGCAATCTGAGCTTACTTTTGATGTTATTTTACACATGGTCAACGATGAGGAATACGTATCCTATTACGACTTTCGAATTTTGGGACGATTGTCATGGTATTGTTTGTCTTCTCGGAGTACCTTCTACTGGTCGACTAATTCATCTAGGATGATTGTTTTCCTGACTAATTTGCACGTTTAAGGACTCAGTTCCTGATGGATCAATTCAAAGATCCAATTTTGTCTAGTGTGATTCCTATGGTGGCTCCGACATGGTGCCATAGGGCCATTGGAGGCAACCCCGGTGTGGGTTAATGTTGACTAACCTGATTTCGGAAGTGACACTTTTAATTTGGCAATTCATTTACGTAATGTGCAACAGTTGGCCTTTCGTTTACCAGCTTTTTTACTGTGCCCCGCTGCTCCTGCTGTCCCTTGAGAACCTTGGTAAATGCACTTCTGCGACAGTGAAGCCAACCTGAACTACCAGAAACTCCATTTTTGTCGCTGCAGCTCCAACCTTTTGCTTTTCAGCATGGCAAAACAGGCAGCAGGCATGTCCTTTTCCTGCAGATTTGGTCTCTTTGGTATCTGGTGAGGTTGAAGAACATATTGTGCATCTAATTCGATGGAACTTGAACAGCTGTTTATGCCCATGTGGATGGATTTGACTACGGTCCCTTTTCGGGAACAATGCGCGATTATCTAGGGTTGAACTGAGTCCTTGCTGTGTTTTCTAACTCACCTTCGACTTCCAATTCGATTTGGTCGCCATGTAATCCGTGGCCACACTCTGCGGCTTCGTGGCCCACTACACCAAACCAGGGCTCTGCGGCACCGTCATGGCCTCCTTCGTCGCACCCGAGCCCTACTGCATCTGTTTCGCCTACTCCGATGTCGTGGCCCACCCCGCAGATGACAACCAACCAACAGATGGCACCCACTCCACATCAAGGTTTCCCTCATCATGCACCATTCCACGGCACCACTTCTATTTCACAGACTCCCTCAGCATTGACCTCACCATCAACAAGCACTGTGGAACACTTCTTTGGCCAACCTTCTGAACTTCAATCTCCTTGGAGCACAACAACACCATCACCAAGTTCCACGTTTCCACCCACTATTCCAATGACAACTACTCATCAACAAATTCCGCAACAGACTCCTTCCCATGCGTCTGTGTGCGTGCGCGTTCGCATGCAAAAAGAGCGCTGTGGAAAATGCATCATTCTCCAATGCCAAGGTTGCAAATACAGGTTACGCTGTTTAGGCTTGCTTGCAACAAACCCAGCCCTTACCATCCCTTACCCTATCCTGGTGAGCGTTGACGCTATGTGTACCAGCAATATTGCAATATTGCAATCATATATAGCCATAAGGCTTAGCCATATAGCAAATGTTTGACCTCTACCCATGGATTGTTTCAGTATCCTGCCCAGCTCACTAGTTCCCAAGCATTCTTTTCCGGGTCCAGATAGACCTGAAGAACCTGTTATTTTTCTGCCATACTCAGATCTTCCTTTCGATCCACTAAGACATTCCAAATGTCATAAATTTCTTTGAGGTACGAGGATGTGAAGGCGCAAAGGGAAGCATAGATTGCTGTCTCCAGGATGACCTCAGATAAGGCTGAAGCATAGAACACTCAATAGATGTAGTGAAATTGAGCACCGAGCTGCATCCCGTAGGATCCGTAGACCCATAGAGTTTAGCTTGTCAAACGAACTTGCAACTTCACAGAAACCATGGTGGCGTGGCTGCTTTTCACATGCTTGCTTGACTGTGTTGCAACTAACCCTCGAGTCCCCAAGTTTCATTGGCATGTTGTATGAGGTTGGCAATTTGGGGCACAATAAAATCCCATGATGAACGTGCAGCACTACAAATTGGGGTGGGCCTAGACCAGAGCCGCTCTTGAAATGCAATGGCGGATGCAGTGGAAGACCGGTACCTCCCAAAGATCTCCGTCTGAGTTGACATGACATTCAGTAGGATGGGTTCTTCAAATTACTGGACTATGATATCTATATACTCAGGTTCCATCTAGAAACCAAAAAATATGACATTAGCCATCTATCCGCATCCTTGATCATACAAGTGAGACTTTTTTAGTGTTCAGCAGTGCCTTAATTGTGAAAACGGTTGCTGATTGTAGCCCTGCCAGCTGAAGCTTCAAAACTGCTCACACCTAGTCCTGGACTTCTTTTTCCACCGGTGTTTTTTCCCGAATGCGTAGCAAGGGTTCCCGTTTCACTCTGGGGGCTGAGGGTGTGTTCGCTCGACGTTGCGTTTACGTTGGCAACCGTCCGCAACCGTCCGCGTGAGGCCGTGCCTATGGTAAGTTTTGCAGAAGGGGTCATTTTTGAGGTTTCACATGTGGCGTTGCTTCGTTTCGCGTGGCAGGCGTGGCACTTCGTGACATTCAGACGTGTTTCGTAACGTGTCGAAAGTCGTTTTGTGTGGCAGGCGCAATACTTTAGCGACGTTTTCAGAAGATGCGTTGCAATTTTCGTGGCTGGCGCAGCACTTTGGACGTGTCCATCGTCATTTTTCGTGGCAAGCGCAGCATTTTAGACGTGTCGTGTTGCGTGTTTCTTGCGAATCGCATTGGCAGGCCTGTGTCAAGTGGCGACAAGGTGCAGATTCCGTGGTAGGCGTTGCATTTTGTGAGATGTGCTGAAAATTGACGGAAGCCTCGCACGAAACATCGATTTTGGTGTAGCAAATTTTCAGCTTCCTGTCTCTGGTTTTCCTGTGGCCTCGCTGTGCCTATGGGGGAAGCTGCAAAACCTTTCCTTTTCGAAGGTTTCCAAGCAAGTTGTCATGTCGTTTTGCGTGGCAGGCGTGGCACTTGGTGACATTCCAACCTGTTTTATACCGTGTCGAAAATTCTTTTGTGTGGCTGGCGCAACAATGCACTCCACACTTTGAACTCTACACTTTACACTCCACACTCTACACTCCACACTCTACACTCCACACTCCACACTCTACACTCCACACTCCACACTCCACCACACTCTACACTTTACACACTCCACACTCCTTACTTTACACCCCGCACTCCACACTCCTCACTTTACACTCCACCCTTCACACTCCACACTTTACACTTTGCACTTTACACTCCTCACTCCACACTTTACTCTCCACACTCCACACTTTACCCTCCACACTCCACACTCTACACTTTACACTCTACACTTTACATTCTACACTCTACGATCCACACTTTACACTTTACACACCACGCTTTCCACCACTCCTCACTCCACACTTTACACTCCACTCTCCGCACTCTACACTCCACACTCCACACCCCACCACACTCTACACTTTACAAACTCCACAGTCCTCACACCACACTTTACACTCCACACTCCTCACTTTACACTCCACATTCGTCACTCCACACTCTACACTTTCCACCCCGCACTCCAAACTCCACAATTTACACTTTAGACTCCTCACTCCACACTCTACACTTTACACTCCACACTTTACACCTTGTACTTTACACTGCTCACTCCACACTTTACACCCCACACTCCACACTTTACACTCTTTACACTCCACACTCCACACTCCACACTTGACACTCCACACTCCACACTTTACACTCCACACTCTACACTTTACACTCCACACACTACACTTTAACTCCACACTTTACACTTTACACTCCTCACTCCACACTCTACACTGTACACTTTGAACTTTACACTCCTCACTCGACACTTTACACTCCACACTTTACACTCCACACTCTACACTTTACACTCCACACTCTACACTTTACACTCCACACTCCACACTCCGCCACACTCTACATTCTACACACACCACACTCCTCACTCTGCACTCCACACTTTACACTCCACACTCCTTACTTTACACTCCGCACTCTACACTCCACACTCTACACTTTCCACTTCAACTCCACACACTACACTCCACACTCCACACTCCACCACACTCTACACTCTACACACACCACAGTCCTCACTCCACACTCCACACTTTACACTCCACACTCTACACTCCACACTCCTTACTTTACTCTCCGCACTCCACGCTCCACACTCTACACTTTCCACTTCACACTCCACACTCTACACTTTACACTCCAAACTCCACACTCTACACTTTACACACTCTACACGCCCCACTCCACACTTGAAACTTCACACTCCCTACTTTACACTCCACACTCCGCACTCCTCTACACATTCCACTCCACACTCTACACTTTACACTCCACACTCCTCACTCCACACTCTACACTTTGAACTTTACACTCCTCACTCCACACTTCACATTTTACACTCCTCACTCCACACTTGACACTCCACACTCCACACTTCCCACTTTACACTTTACACTCCACACTCTACACTTTACACTTTACACTTTACACTCCACACTTTACACTCTACACTCCACACTTTACACTTTACGCTGTACACTCCTCACTCCACACTTTACACTCCTCACTCCACACTCCACACTCTTACCACTTTTGACACCACTTCAACACCTCTACCACGACACAAACTACACACAAGCCAAATCAACCACTCTAACAAATCTTTACACACTCTATACTCCCCACCCCAAACTCTACGCTTCACACTCCTTACTTTTCACCCACACTCCACACTCCACACTCTACACTTTACACACTCCACACTCCCCACTCCACACTTTACACTCCACACTCCTTACTTTACACTTTACACTTCGCACTCCACACTCTACACTTTCCACTCCACACTGCGGACTGGTAACAGGGGAAATATGTACAAGACTGTTCAAACAAACTATTGCGGAAAAGTGGTCTGCGTGACTGCATATCCATGTGTTTCGACATCTGTACCATTAACATACGTGTGAGCATTCGGGTTCGTGGGCTGCATCTTGTTTTGGTGGTTTACTTCACTGTGCACGCATCCTGAACAACAAATCGGGCAGAGTTACCCTCTGAGACCCTCTTCCTCTTTGTGTGTGTGTTGTGGCTGCTGACCAAAACAGCCATGTGCCGAGAACAGGTCTCTCACATGAACAGCGAAAATGCACAATCTGAAAATCCAAAAACATGCAAAGAAAAGCAGTAGAGGCATTGATGTTTTCCATGTTTGTCTATGTTTTCTTCGCACTAGGCCTAGAATGCAGTCATGTCTGAGCATCCCAGTAACGGTGAGATCTTCTGAACCTTCTCTCAGGCATGGACGGCCCAAGGCTGCAAGTGCTCCCACCGTGATCGTGAAGATTGCCTGAAAGATCTGAAAGCAAATATGCCAAGATTCCTGTGTTTGATGCTCTTTCTTCGGTGGAACTGCTTCACTGCCAACTTCAGATTCAAGTCTAGCAACACACATACACACAGAGCGGAAAATTGACGTTTGTGGAGCAAAAGAAGCTACCAAAGGCTCCTGTGTCATTGAAAATCATGTGCCTCAGGGAAGCAAAGAGCAACATGGCCCTGGTGTGCAAGGAGGTCAGCACACCAACCATTGCCGCCAAGGCTGCGAAGATCGGGACGTCACCTGAGTCAAAACAACTTCATCAACTGCCTACTGAAAGGATCTGGAAGGTGGGTGCATCAAGCCCGGGTGATTTGTGTTTCTCAGCTTTACAACTTTGCCCCTGTGTCGCCAGCAGATTCCTTCCCCAAACTCTGCATGCGCTTGCGTGTA